TTTTTTTGATGCTGGGCAGGCTGAGCTGAGGCTGAGGCTGAGCAGGCTGAGGCTGAGGCAGCCTGAGCTGACGCCGAGCTGAAGGCAGGACTCGAGGCTGAGGCTAAAGCAGGCTGAGGCTGAGGCTGAGGCAGGCTGAGGCTGAGGCAGGCGGAGGCTGAGGCTGAGGCAGTCTGAGGCTGAGGCTGTGACTGCGACTGCCGTTGCCACTGCGACTGTCCTCGCGAATGCGACAACGACTGCGAGAACAGCAGAATTCTACAACTGGATTCTCATCCGAATCTTAAGGGGAATGCTTCCAGATATGCTCCTACACATGGCTGTTAGGTTGCTTTGCCGGGATAATCATCTGAATCTTAAGGGGAATGCTTTCAGATATGTTTCTACACATCGCTGTTAGGTTGCTTTGCCGGGATAATTTAAACTAACAGCGTAGACTGATAGGTTTCTAGTTGACTCAAAAGAGCTCACAGATCACTCCACAGGGGGGTCCGGGCAGGCGTGGGAGTTGCCGGGTGCCTGTGCCGGGCTCGTTTCACCAACAGTCACACACTTCGTGCTCGTCGACCTCTCAGAACCCCATTCCCAGGCCACATTCTGAATAACCGGATGCAACAGTCACACACTTCGTGCTCTTCGACTTCCCAGAACTCCATTCCCGGGCCACATTTTGAATGCCCGGAGCCAACTGTAGGCCACTTCGTGCTCTTCGACTTCCCAGAACTCCATTCCCGGGCCACATTTTGATGCCCGGAGCCAACTGTAGGCCACTTCGTGCTCTTCGACTTCCCAGAACTCCATTCCCGGGCCACATTTTGGATGCCCGGAGCCAACTGTAGGCCACTTCGTGCTCTTCGAGTTCCCAGAACTCCATTCCTGGGCATGATTTTGAATGCCCGGAGCCAACTGTAGGCCACTTCGTGTTCTTCGAGTTCCCAGAATTCCACTCCCGGGCCACATTTTGAATGCTGAGGCAGGCTGATGCTGAGGCTGAGGCAGGCTGAGGCTGAGGCAGGCTGAGGCTGAGGCCGAGGCTGAAGGCAGACTGAGGCTGAGGCTGAAGCAGGCTGAGGCTGAGGCTGAGAGGCTGAGGCTGAGGCTGAGGCAGGCTGATGCTGAGGCAGGCTGAGGCTGAGGCTGAGGCTGATGCAGGCTGAGGCTGAGGCAGGCTGAGGCTGAGGCCGAGGCTGAAGGCAGACTGAGGCTGAGGCTGAAGCAGGCTGAGGCTGAGGCTGAGGCAGGCTGAGGCTGAGGCTGAGGCAGGCTGAGGCTGAGGCAGGCTGAGGCTGAGGCTGTGACTGCGACTGCCGTTGCCACTGCGACTGTCATCGCGAATGCGACTACGACTGCGAGAACAGCAGAATTCTACAACTGGATTCTCATCTGAATCTTAAGGGGAATGCTTCCAGATATGCTCCTACACATCGCTGTTAGGTTGCTTTGCCGGGATAATTTTCCCCCCAGGGGGGGGGGGCAATCACATTCCTGTACCATTTGTATCGAAGACGCCTACGGCGAATCATCGCCGCCCCCTGCATTTTTGGAAGTGCCTATGTGGCCGAACGTTGAGACCTGCCAAGCTATCGGACCATGTGTTCCCCGAATCGGTTTGGAAAGCCTTCGGGGAACACGTGGGCATCTTGAAGGTCTTCTTGGTCGTCTGGAGGCCATTTTGACCATTTCGGGCCTTCTTGGAGGACGTCTTGGAGGGGTCTTGGGCCGTCTTGGAGGCCATCTTGAGCGTCTTGGAGGCCTCTTGGGCCGTCTTGGGGGCCTCTTGGGGCCGTCTTGGGCCTCTTGGGCGATCTTTGGGGGCACTTGGGCCGTCTCGGGCCGTCGGAAGGCCGAACAAAAAGCACATGCCACAATCCTTCAAAAACTAATGGGAAAGTAATGATTTTGGCCTTTTCGGGCCTTCCTTGAGGCCCTCTTGGAGGCCTCTTGGAGGCCTCTTGGGCCGTCTTGGGCCATCTTAGGGCCATCTTCGGCCGTCTTGGCGGGCTCCTGGCCCGTCTGACGCCCTCGGAAGCCGTTTGGGGGGCCTCTCTGGGCCGACTTGGGGCCCTCTTGGAATGCTCCAGGGCCGTCTTGGAGGCCATCTTGGGCGTCTTGAAGGCCTCCTGGGCCGTCTTGGGGGCCTCTTGGGGCCGTCTTGGGGGCCTCTTGGGCCGTTCTGGGGCCATCTTGGAGGCCTCTTGGGCGATCTTTGAGGGCTCTTGGGCCGTCTCGTGCCGTCGGAAGGCCGCAAATAAGCAAATGTCGCAATCCTTTTAAAAAACTGCAGGAGCATCAATGTTTTTTACCTTTTCCGTCTGACGCCGTCTGGGCCGACTTGGGGCCCTCTTGGGGTGCTCCAGGGCCGTCTTGGAGGCCATCTTGGGCGTCTTGGAGGCCTCTTGGGTCGTCTTTGTGCCCTCTTGGGGCCGTCTTGGGGGCCTCTTGGGCAGTCCTGAGGCCATCTTGGAGGCCTCTTGGGCGCTCTGGGGGCGATCTTGGGGGCCTCTTGGGCCGTCTTGGGTCGTCGGTAAGCCGAAAAGGAGCAAATACGAAACACCTTTCAAAACCGAAGGGAAATTTATGATTTTAGCCTCTTCGGGCCCTCCTGGGGGACCTCTCGGAGGCCTCTTGGGCCGTTTTGGAGGCCTCTTAGGCACCTCTTTGGCCGTTTTGGGCCATCTTGGAGGTTTCTTGGGCGGACTTGGAGGCATCTCCTCCTCTCTTGGGCCGTCTTGGAGGCCATCTTTGAGGCCATCTTGGAGGCCACCTTGAGCCGTCTAGGAGGATGTTTTCCGGGATTGAGCTCCTGGGTAATCTTCCCAGCACCCCGGCGGGACGGGCCGAAGCCCCAGGGGGAGTTCTTTTGGAGAAAACCAAAAACAAAACCGAAATCGTGTAGCACGCCAGGCACCTCTCTTGCAAGCAACAGGGGGCGGCGGATCGAATGGCCTTCGGCCCATCCCGCCACCGTGCCTGGGTTGTAGTTCAGATGCCTCATGGATGCTTGTGGGGATCTCGTGGGAGGCCTCTCTGAAGCTTCCCGGAGGCGGTTGTTGGGGTGGTGTCTCGGGGCCTCTCGGGGAATTTTAGGGGGCCTCTCGGGGCCTGACTTGGGCTTCCTGCGGGCCTCCTACTGCTAGGTGAATAATTTGCCAGGGAAGATCTGACCAGGTGGGGCATGGGTCAGTGGCGGGGGCGTGAATCGCTCTGCCAGCCGCCCGAAGCGGCGGCCGTCACATCCCCGCCAGGGCCGCGCGCGCCCACGAGCCGCGCGCAAGGATGCGCCCGCGCGCTCACGAACCGCGCTGGCTCATCCTCAGCATGCTCATCCTCATCATCCCCCTCATCCTCCATCCTCGTCCTCCGCAGCCTCATCATCACAACTCTCCGCCTGTACAGCCCTCTGAGAATTATCGTCCTCATCATGCTTTGCATCGTCCTCGTCATCATCCTCACCCTTCTCATCCGCATCCTCATGTCCCTCATCCTCAATACTCATCGTCCGTAGCCCCGTCCTCCTCATCTCCTTCGTCCTCGTCCTCATCATGGTTAGCACCATCCTTATCTCCATCCTTATTTTTATCCTCATTCTACGTGCCCTAACTCCCCATCCTCCTGATCCTCCCCACTGTCGTCCTCGCTGTCAAAAGGGAGCCAAAGGGTAGCCAGAAGGGAGTCAAGAGGGAGCCAAGAGGGAGTCAAGAGGGAGCCTAGAGGGAGCCAAGAGAGAGAGGGCCTAAAGGGGGCCATCTCTTACGACGCCGACCGACCGACCGACCGACGACCGCGACTTCAACCGACCGACAGACGGACCGACGACAATCAGCCGACCGACAAGCCAACGGATCGACCGACCGACCGACGACGAAGACGACGACGACCGACGACCGACCGACCGACACGACCGACCATCGACGGTCGGCCCGGAGGCCGTGCCATTCTAGAGCTCGGGGTGAAAAACTTGGCCCGTGCCTCCGGCACCTGGGCAAACGTGCGATCTCGGGAGCCTTGAGACGGGGGTCAATGCAAACGGGGGTCAGCCAGGGCGCCAGATCCTGCAGGATCCTGCGAAGACCCCCTCTGGCTGACGACCCGGGTTAGCGAGCCGCTCGAGGCCGCGAGGCGGCCGCGCATATTGGTTGACCCGGGTTTGCGAAGATCTGCGTTGCAGTTTTTTTTCTTTCCTGCGTTGCAGGTTTTTGGTTTCCTGCTGACCCGGGTCTGGATTGACCCGGGTCAGAAGATCCCCGACGATCGTCCTGCGTGAATTTGCTTCTCGGGCAGGCAGGGGCGGGGAGCGCAAGAGGGCGGGGCAGAAGGGGTCGGGGGACCGCGCCGCATCGCCGATGCATCGACGATGCGGCTCGATGTGGAGCCCGTCTTTCCCCGCGCCGATGCATCGCCGATGCATCGCCGATGCATCGCCGATAGATCGGCGATGCATTGGCGATGCGGCGCGATCCTTCGACCCCATCTACTCGGACCCCATCTAGGAGGCCTCTACCAAAGACTGCGACACACCTAACGGGTGAAGAACGGCATCAGATAAGCTGTTTCGCCGTCGGAGATGCCTGTCCCAGGGCTGCTTGAAATCCTCCTTCTCCCAGATATCAAGCAAAGCGATGTAATTTTCAATCCTGGCGTTTTTCTTAGATTTCGGCCGGCGATGTGTTTTGTTGTGTTTCCCAATGCGCGGCCCCAGGGAGGTCCCGACCCCTTGCCTGCGGGGGCAGTTTTCTTCCCAGATCGACTCTTTGGATGGTCCCTGGGCCCGACCATCTCAGAGGTCGAAAACCGAAGCACAACGCATTTCTTGCAGATGTGGGAAAAGGCAAGCAGCGCCCACAAGCGTCGGCCCTCTATCCTTGTCCCCTCCTCCCCCTCCAGTCGGTTGGTGGCCTCGTCTCCGTTCTCCCGTCCCCTCCTCCTCCTCCTCCTCCTCCTCCTCCTGCCTGGCCCTCCAGCTTGGTCCTCCAGCCCCGACGCTCGCCTGACGAGCTAAG